CGTTCTCTGTGCAGTTAAAATCCCCTCCAAGAAATAGAAACTCTTCATTACCACGCTGACTTAAAACCAGAGTTCATTTAAAAACTGGTTTCTGTCAGGTTTTGTGTTGGCAGTGTAGACATTTATAAAAACCGGAGTAAACAGCTCATACTTGGCTTTGACCACCATCAATCAGACCTTCATTATGTCCTCCACCACATGAAATTTTGGCAGGAAGGTTTTAGAGATGAGGAGCACCACTCTTCCACTGGTTCTTCCTAAGTGACTGAAAACCACCTCCCTGTCCCACTCCCTCCTCCAGTCAGTCTCATCCACAGTGTCACTGTGCGTCTCCTGGACCAGCATCACATTAATGATCCTCACTTTAGAGTTCAAACAGGGTCTCCCTCTTCCTCACATCTCAGCTCCGTTAATGTTGAGTGTGGAGACCCTGAAATCACTCATGACCTCTGATGTGAGAAGTGACACACAGAGTAAAACAGATAGGACACACACTGTCTCACATGGTTTCTGAGTCCTCATCATGATAGAGTTCTTGTTTGAGTCTCAGAACAATCTATCTATGCCTGTAGACTTCCTGCTCAGTGAAACATCCTTTTCCACTGCTGCTCATCTGTGATCTGGATCAGGAAGAACTCTCCGTCTGCAAAGTATTCTTCAACTCGCACTTTCTTCATGTTCTTTGGTGTCTGCAGGAAATTTTTAATCTGCTGTACTTCATACATTTTGTCTGATTGTGATTTAGCAGAACATTGTGAGTCAGAGTGACGCTGGGCATTTTCACCACAGTCCCCCTCCTCCTGCCTACTGCTCCCTTCTTGGCCTGAAGGCCCCTGCTGCTTTGCTTTCTCGTGAGAGCAGGTACTTTAAAAACAGTCTCCTCCACCATCTTCATCACTGTCCCTCAGAGTGTCCACAGCTGTCTACTCTGTCTCTGCTGCTACTCTGACTAAAAGTTGCTGTCTCAGTGTCTCCCTGACTCTGCTGGGTCTCTTTTGTTCCCTCACCATATCCTTCACAGTTTGTCTGAGTATTTCCTCTCGGCCCCTCTCTTTGTTTTCTCAGCAGAGGAGACTCTTTCAGCACAGGCCTGGACTAGGTGACCCTTCTCCCCACAGCCAAAACATTTGAAGGCCCCAGAGTTAACAAACAACATATTCAAAGTCCTCGACCTTCACATTAAACACCAGACTGAGCTCCTCGCCTTTTTTATTGAGGATCATGTAAACCTGCCGTCCGTGAGAAACCACGGTTCAGCAGCGAAGACTTCCTGATTGGGGACATGATCTTCCTCTCTCAACTCTCTCAACCAGTTTATTCGCCTTTTCAACCTCATCCACAAAGATCACCACAGCACTGTTAATCTGAGCAGCGGATTTAACGCTGCCATAACCCACAACTCTCCCCACCGCCAGACTGCACTCCACTGAGCATGGCTTAGCTGTGGAGATCTTAACACTGGTGGACTGCACAAAACCACACACACCCAACCTGCAACCCCTAAACCACCGAAATACACACCACAACAAGATTGACACTACACTATTTATAGATAAAGAAAAGATAGAAAAACACTCATAACAGTTCTCAAACGACCAATCCACACACTCACACCTTCCAATCAGAGTGAGAGAAAGAGAGAGACAGACAGAGAGACAGAGAGAGAGATTTTGAATTAAAACAAAAAAAAACAAAAAAAAACAACATTTATTAATCATTATATACATTTTACAAAGAACAATAATACAGTACATTACTACATACACAATATATTTACCCTGGTATCAAAGTTATATCAGCACATGTGCAAAAACTATCCATCTGTTATAGAGCAGAGCACCTCCCCATAACCCCAGATCTGCTGGAAACACTCCAGGTCCTGAGCAGCTCTGTAAAAACTAAATTCCAGCAGCAGTCTGGACTTCACCATTTTTACAAAGAACGGGAAGCACATCAACATCCAAGTCTTCCTCCACCTTCCTCCTGTGGCTCATATACTGCCATCTTTGCCTGTCCTAAAACAAAGTTCAAAATCTGACATTTGTTCTTGTATTGGCTCGTGTATTTAAAGCCACAGACAAAAACCTGTTTCATAAAAACTTTTCCACATCTGCTAAAAATGGTGTGTAACAATATAAACAGAGCTGTGAGATGGGTGCAGTCTGAGAAACAGTGGAACACAGTCTCTCTCTGATTACATAAGGGACATTTGTTCTCTACAGCGTTTTTAATGACAGAGATAAGAGTTCACAGCCACAATGCCATGCAGGATTCACCACTGTAAGTCTGCATGCTTTTCTATCAAAGGAGGTTTGCACAAAAGACCTCCATGTCCAAGTCCAAATAAGTCCTCCATGGTGTGTCACTATGGCCATTTCTGGTTCAAAGTTTTAACCATTAGCTTATACAGAGTCTTCCCTGTGGCATCCTCCAGAGAAGCACCCACAGGGTCGACAGGCTCCAGTAAAGGACCAGAACAGATTTTAAAATCCGGGAAAAAGTCTTATGGTAGGAAAAGGGTCCATAAAGTTTGGCAGCAGTGAACCGTCACCAAAAGTAATTTAAAAGAGAACATTGATGTCCTGTCTGCTTCTTTCTCCAATGCTTGCCAACAACTGATCTATCACCCAGATAGATCTTAATCCCAGCCGAGGAGCAAGTTCAATAGGGTCATCTAGGCGAGATCCAGCCAGCTCCACCACATGCCCCAGAGTGGAAACTCCTGCAGTGTGATGCAGTCTGGACAGAGTAGGTCCTCCAGCTCGGACAATCCAAAAAAAACCAAACAGTACAAGCTCCTGTAGGAGCCAGTACAGAGAGTCAGTCTGCTCCTGTCTCTGCTTCTTCAGCAAAGTCCATACTGAAAAAATACTCCTATAAAAAGCTGTCAGAGATGAAGTGTCTAACTTTTTGGAGTCCATCAGGAATAGAGCCAGATCAAGTCCCAAACCACCAAACCGCTGCAAGATGCAGCAGGATAAAGATCTCCACACCAGGTCTGTAGGTCCAGTGAGCAGTCTCTGGATAAACTGAAGATGGAAGCGCTTCTACTGGCCAGATGGACCAGGCCCTGCAACTTGTCCCCAAAAAAAAAAAAAAAAAAAAAAAAAAAAGTATAGCATGCTGGACAAACAGCAGCCCTGTCTGACCCCCCCCTCTGAACACTAAAAGGAGTACTCAGACTGCCATTAACTTTCAGAACACTCACAATGTCACTGTAGAGCACCTATATCTTGGCTATAAAACCTGGGTTGAACCTTAAAGGACCATAAAGGACTGATTTAGACTCTACTAAACTTTGCAGTTCTACCACCTGAGTCTCCAGGTCCCTCAAAGATCTGGTGATGTCTCATTGACATTGCAAGCGAACTGCTGACACAGCTGTTTAGTCTGTGTTTTACCAACATCCCACCATTGTTGGACGCTGGCAAAAACAGACTTACATTTTCTGTGGGTAAGCCAAAAAGATTGAAAAGACTGTTTTAAAAGCTTTGTCATGAAGCAATTCAGTGTTAAATATATCATATTGTCTTTAGAGTGACTCCACATGTACTACCTGTGAGTTTTATTTAAAAAACCTACACACATCTGACAGCTCATGTGTTTCAGTCAGCTGTCTGAACCTGGGTGATGACGCAGGGTGAATCTCCTGGTGATTTCTGTCTAGTCTTGGATTTTCAGTGCAGTTAAACTCACTTCAAACCTAAAAACAAATACTCATCACTGCTACAGTTTCTGATGGTGTCACATAAAACATCCAGTACATTAGTTGGTTCATAAACATTGATAAAAACTAGAGCGATATTTTCAAACTGAGCTTTAACCTTCAGTAAACAGCCTTTAATGATTTCCTCAGTTTCACAAGAAGGCGGCAAACTTCTAGAGAACACGATCCCAGCTCCTCCACTGCAGCATTTATCTTTTTGACTGTTGCAGTATTTTACCTTTTATTGTTATTACTGATTCTGCCTTTGTGATGTCATCATCCCTTCCTCATGCTGCTGTAGCCTGACACCCATGTGTCATGCAGTATCCCCTTGCCTTCATATTTTTTTATAGGTAAATAAAAACACTGTTTGTATTACAAGTTTTCATAATTTGTTTCAGTGCTGGCAACAATTTTAACAATCAACAATAAATGCACATATAAATAATAAGTTATAAGGAACATGGGGGAAACAACAACATGACTAACTAGACAGGAGCGAAAAGGTGAAATGCTGCCCCCTATGGAGGTGGAGCAAGTAGCACGATCTTACACGACACCTTTAACTACCAATTTCCTTAAACGATAAATCTCCTGATCTGTAAGAACATCATCTCCTATGTTTCCTGATTCTCTGGTCAGAGGCCCCGCAGACTCAACAAACAGCTTCAGATCTGAAAAATAATCCTCCACTTTCACCAACCTGGATCCCTTCATTCCCTTCAGGAACTTTTTAATGTCAGGTTCTTGATTTTTCCTCTTTTGTGACAGTTTAAACAAATCAAATTCTCTGTCGCTGATCACTGCTTTTAACTGTCATCTTATCACCAGAGCTTTCAGGGGGATCACTGTCCACAGCGGCCGCACTATGGCCGATGGAGCCGACAGAGCATCCCCCATCCCCACCACAACCAAAATACTTCATGGTCTCCGATGTAACAAAAAACCATGAAGTTGAAACCGTCTACTTTAAAATTAAAGGTCAGATTGAGATCATCATCATCAATATTGTCTTTAAAAACCATGAACACCTGTCTGCGGTGACTAGATAGATAGATAGATCAGATTAGATAGATAGATAGATAGATAGATAGATAAGATAGGATAGATAGATAGATAGATAGATAGATAGATAGATAGATAGATAGATAGATAGATAGATAGATAGATAGATAGATAATAGATAGATAGATAGATAGACTAGACGAAATAGACAGATAGATAGATAGGATAGATAGACAGATAGATAGATATTAAACTGAGCTGGTAGTGTGTGTCACACTGTGGGTCTTACCCTGTATCCAGGGTCCTCTTTCAGTCCCACAGTGTCAACAGCAGAGCCTGACTGCCACAGAGTCTCCTTCACACTGCAGCCATACAAGAAGACATTCTTTTTTCTTGAGTGGCCGTGGTAGTCACAGAAAACCTGGAGCAGACGTACAGGAAAAGAATCGGAGATAACCTTTGTGTGGAATGATGAGGTGAAGAAAATGACACCTAGATTGCCCCGGTGACTCACCTAGTAGAGTGCATACCATTAAGGCTTAGTCCTAACCACAGCAGCCCGGGTTCCAGTCCGACCTGCGGCCCGCATACCAACCTCTCTCTCTCCCTGACTTTCCTTTCTCTCTAACTGTAGCTATCAGAATAAAGGAAAAAACCATGCATCTTGCTCTCACATATCTTGCTGCTTCTCTTGCACTGACACTGTTTTCTTTAAGTAGCCTACATGTTGAATTTTAGTGTGGTCACAGAGGGAATCAAAACCTTTAAATTTACATAGAATTTTTGTGAATGTATTCAAATGTTCTACAATGTAGCAGGAAATGTTGCTGTGTCTCCACCTGTCTCTGTGGACAGAGCTGGCACAGCCTGTCTTCTCTTGGCAGTCAGGTCAGCCTGTGTCAGCCAGTCTCTATTGCCAGGCTGCGATCAATGAGTGTGTACATAGTCAGGGTCTTTCTCAGTGTCTGATCCCTCATCGTGGTCAGATGGTCTGCTGCTGTGTACTGTGTGTTTAGAAGTTAGTGTTGTGTTTGTGCGGCACATGTCCAGTAGTTAATGTCATTGTCTTTGTGTTGAGATATAGGTTGATTGGTCCAGATAGTGTGAGAGCTGTGCTGAGGCCTGCTGCTGTTGGAGGAGCTGAGCCTCATGATCAGCTGGCTGGGGGACTCCTCTCTGTGTTCTTCTATTCCTAGTGAAGGGCTTTGTAATGGTGGGAGCAGAGTGCACATGTTTTTAGGTATTTGTAGAATTTGAGGGCTCTTGTCTGTATCCTGATTAAAAGGGGGATTTGGCCCAGTTCAGCTTGGCATACATTGTTGCGACTGGGTATTTGTCCCATTTCTCAAAGTCTTGATTTATAAGAGGACCCCAAGACTTGACAAGTTTTGCAGATCATCCAGTTGTAACGCCTCCTTAGATGGAGCTAGTAATATTAGACCTGCAAAAAGTAGACATTTAATTTCTGTCAGATAGGCTGAGACCAAGGATATCTGACCGTTCATCAATATAAATGTTAAACAGGGTGGGGCTAAGACTGCAGCCCTGTTTCACCCCTCTGTTATGAGGGAAGAAGTCTGTTTCCAAATTGCCAATTTCACAACACATTTAATATTTGTGTACATGGTTTTAATTATAATAATGTGTTTCCATTTTTAAAGAATGGCGTGATAATTCCTTTCCTCCATGTCAGGGAAATTTCCAGTGCTCAGAAGGAAGTTTAATAATTTTAAAATGGCAATGTTGAACTTATGATTGGTAAATGTAAGCATTTCATTTAAAATACCATCAGGATCACTGGCTGTTGACGATATAAAGACCCAATGTTTGACTGAGCTGTAGTAGTTGGTGCCCATTTTTGTTTACACTTTTGTCAAAGTTGTTGCTATGGGGTTGTGAGGGGAGCAGAATGCTAATCTGACCAGGTATACGTTTGTCTCCTTGTTGGCTAATAGAATCTGGTTCTGTGTCTGTCCTGGCATCAAGATCCCCACAGATTGGAACACTTCCCTGGGCTTGGTAGTAATTGATCTCATCTTCAAGAATGGAGAAAATATTTTCATTATAATTCTCCTCACAGGGCTGGTCAGTTTTGGTGCAGTTGGGGGTGGGGTGATGTCTGCGTCTGGCAAGGAGTGGGTGTTGTCAGTGGTGGTAGTCTTCTCCTGTTCTGCCTTTTTTATAGGGAGAAAGTCCAGCTGCACTATGACAGTCCCATTCTTATATACAGTATACTGACTGTTGTCATGACAGTGTCTGTGTCTTCTGCCTCTTTGGTTTTTAGTTTCCAGCCTTTACAAATCCCTTCTTTCTTTCTTTACAGAGAGGTAATGGGCTCTTATAGCCAAGTGCTGCTACTGCACTGCTATTGTTGCTACTCCTTGGTAACCATTGCCAGGGTTTGTTGAAGGTTATCTGTCAGCCTTAAAGCTAAGCTAGCTTTAAACTATTTCATAGTCATTTTTACATCAGTCGTACATCATTTCTTAGGTTGTAGGTTCTCTCTGTGACATCTCACTCATTTGAGTCTTTGGCTGTATTCCTCTCTTAGCTTGGTGTAAGTCAGATGTAGGACAGTTAGACTAAAGGTCAGTTTGGCAGGTGGTTTTGTTTTCTGCTGGATTTTTCAGTTGAGCAGGATTTTCCCTTTTTCTTGCTTCCAGGGAAGCAATTCCTAATTCCTCGATATAATTGTTTCTTCTTCAATGTTGCCAGAAGAAATGTAAGAGGTTATCTCGTTTTAAACAAAAAAAAGTGAACATCTTCAGAAGCTAATTTTTCTGATGGATGGATGGATGGATCCCCCCCACTGTTCTGTCTCTCTCTCACTGTGGCTGTCAGCTGTTTTTTGGGGGTTAACATGAGTTAAGTTGAAGCAGTCAGTCATTATTCTGCTTCTTCTTTGATCTTGTTATTTTTTTCACCAGTCTAATCTGAATTTCAGCTGTCTACAGATAAACCATTAGCTAAATCATGTTTTTGCTGTAGTGGTCTGTGAGAAGTACTGATACTCCTGTGCTTTGCTCTGTTTGAAGGGATGTGGGCATCACTGTCGAATCAGTCTCTTTATACATCTGGTGAATATTCTGCTGAAATGCTGAAGTTGTTTCACTGGTGATTCACATTGAATTTTAAATCTACTTTAGTTTAGTTAGTTAGTTTTTTAGCTTGAATCTCATTCATTCTGTGACTTAAATAAATAAACAGGAAACATCATAAATAGAGTTTTTCCTCTTGTACCGTAAACACACTCGGAATTATGGTCAGTGTGTGTTTAGGGTACAAGCAACTTTGGTTGATGTTAAGAGATTTCCTTCATTGGTAACAGAACTTTAAACCGCTAAGTACCATGCTGTATACAAATGCAATTAGCTTAAATATGAAGTTAGGTAGCACTCAAGAGACCACATCAGAGAAACGTGTGACTTATTGAGAGCAGAACCAGCCCACAGCATCAGAGGACAGGTATGTTCAGGTAACACCGAGTTCTGTCTATGTATCTCACCAGTGGAGGTCGTCCTATACAGTTCAAGTAATAGAGGAAGCCCTTGGTGTGGTAGATGGTTGGACTGAGGACAGGGTCTGGTTTACACCATTGGCGGTTTAGGTCCTCACTGTTCAGATCACAGCGGTTCCTGGGGAGATATAGCAGAGGAGACAGGTGGGGATTTATGGAGCAGTACACTGGTACTATAATGGAGAACTGTTTCAATAACAGATCCTGAGGATAACATCAGTAAAGCCTCCACACATCAGTAGGAGTACTGGTTTTTAACTCGTCTTTGTATTTGGTTTTATGGCGGTCCCTCCAGAAGGCAAAGGTTATGTGAATAGAAAAATGGATAAACCATATATTACGTGATGCACACTTGACTAAAGAATTATAATTTGCTTCCTGTTACACATGGGCACGTTTATCTTAGCACCACAGCACCTGAACCTCTTGGCTCCCTCTAGTGGAAACAGGGGGCAACATAAAATCAAATTAACACAATGGCAATAAAATAAACAGCACAGTGACAGAATTAGATAAATAACATGAGCATATATGGGAGGTGTTTTTTCTATGTGTGACTTCTCATCCCCACATGAGCATTTTAACATGATAATCATATTCATAAACTATGCAGCACTCTTAAACAAAAGAAAATTAATTCTGGTTGACAGCTGATGTGAGTATTCCCTCATAAATGATGCATGAAGACAGAGCAGCTTGCAAAAGAGGGAAGCCTAGGCTGTCCTGGCATTGCATGGAGCCCATTGTGAGTTACGTCAGGCGGGAATGGGAGACACCTCTGTTAGCGGTAGGATACAGGCCCTATTACACTGTTGTGGGTTCGGAATGGGACAAGGGTGTTCCCTTGTTAGTGTGTGTGTCAGATGGTAAGCTTGACTGAGCTAAGTGTCCTCAATCAATCAATGCAAATAAGCTGTGAAACTACTAAAAAGACACTGCGAGTCAGCATTCATCTGCCAAACTCCCGGAGACAGGCTGGACTCTCTCCTTTTCCAGAGTTGCCCAGGGTGACAGGTGCTAGGTCGGTGTGTGGATACTCACAAGCCCCCAGTGGAGTACTGCGGTGTTGGAGTTCTCTCTGTGGAACGAGAGGGTCTCCTCTATATGGAAGGTTTATGCCAGGGTGCTGGAAAGGAGGCGTCGATTGATCGTCGAACCTCAGATTCAGGAGGAGCAAACATGTTTTCAGTGAGTGTTGGACTTCACCACGGCTGTCAATGTTGTCTCCAATTTTGTTTACGATATTCATGACAGGATCCCAAGGTGCGGCTGAGGTGAGGAGTGTATCCACTCTGGGAACCTCAGAATTGCATCTTTGCTCTTTGAAGATGATGTGGTTCTGTTAGCTTCATCCAAACATGGTCGCCAGGGCTCACTGAGACAGTTTGCAGCAGAGTGTGAAGTGGCTGGGATGAGAATCAGCACCTCCAAGTCTGAGGCCATGGTTCTCAGCTGGACTGCTCTCTTCGGGTTGGGGTGAGTTACTGCCCCAAGTGAAGGAGTTCACATGGATTGGTGCAGTGTCAGCAGTAATGTGGACCTTATACCGGACCATTGTGGTGAAGAGGGAGCTGAGCCGGAAAGGCAAAGGAGCCAGCTGAGGTGGTTCAGGCATCTGATAAGAACGCCTCCCGGGCACCTTCCTTTGGGAGGTTTCCCAGGCATGTCACCTGGAAGGAGACCCTGGGGTAAACCCAGAACTCGCTGGAGGGATTGCATATCCTATCTGGCCTGGGAACACCTTGGGATCCCCAGGAGGAGCTGGAAAGTGTTGCTGTAGAGAGGGATGTCTGAAAGCGACTGCTTAGCCTGCTGCCACCGCAACCCAACCCCAGATAAACGGAAGAAAATGGATTGATGGATGGACTATTCAAATGACATGTGACGTTTAATGACTCACAAACAAGAGATACAGTTAGGCCCAGAAATATTTGGACAGTGACACAAGTTTTGTTATTTTAACTGTTTACGAAAACATATTCAGGATACAATTATATAATCAATATGGGCTTAAAGTGCAGACTCTCAGCTGTAATTTGAGAGTATTCACATCCAAATTGGAGCAAGGGTTTAGGAATTACAGCTCTTTAATACGTAGCCACCCCTTTTTCAAGGGACCAAAAGTAATTGGACAGTTGACTCAGAAGGCTGCAAAAAAAAATAACAAGGCTGCATGGGCTCTTCCCTCGTTAACCTGTCATCAATTAAGCAGTTAAAAGGTCTGGAGTTGATTCCAGGTGTGGCGTTGCATTTGGAAGCTGTTGCTGTGAACACACAACATGCGGTCAAAGGAGCTCTCAATGGAGGTGAAACAGACCATCCTGAGGCTGAAAAAAAGAAGAAATCCATCAGAGAGATAGCAGAAATCTTAAGAGTGGCCAAATCAACCGTTTGGTACATTCTGAGAAAAAAAGAGTGCACTGGTGAGCTTGGGAACTCAAAAGGCCTGGATGTCCACGGAAGACAACAGTGGTGGATGATCGCAGAATCCTTTCCATTGGTGAAGAAAAACCCCTTCACAATATCCACTCAAGTGAAGAACACTCTCCAGGAAGTAGGTGTATCAGTATCTAAGTCTACCATAAAGAGAAGACTTCATGAGAGTAAATACAAAAGGGATTCACCACAAGGTTGCAAATCATTAAATCAGCCTCAAAAATAGAAAGGCCAGAATTGACTTTGCCAAAAAACACTTGGAGAAGCCAGCCCAGTTCTGGAACTGCATTCTTTGGACAGATAAGACTAAGATCAACCTGTACCAGAATGATGGGAAGAAGAAGTTTTGGAGAAGAATTGGAACAGCTCATGATCCAAAGCACACCACATCTTCTGTAAAACATGGTGGAGGCAGTGTGATGGCATGGGCATGCATGGCTTCCAATGGCACTGGGTCACTTGTGTTTATTGATGATGTGACAAAAGACCGAAGCAGCCGGATGAATTCTGAAGTGTATAGGGATATACCTTCTGCTCAGATTCAGCCAAATGCAGTAAAGTTGATTGGACGACGCTTCACAGTACAGATGGACAATGATCCAAAACATACTGCAAAAGCAACCCAGGAGTTTTTTAAAGCAAAGAAGTGGAATATTCTGCAATGGCCGAGTCAATCACCAGATCTCAACCCAATTGAGCATGCATTTCACTTGCTCAAGACAAAACTTAGGGCAGAAAGACCCACAAACAAGCAACAACTGAAGACAGCTGCAGTAAAGGCCTGGCAAAGCATCACAAAGGAGGAAACCCAACGTTTGGTGATGTCCATGGGTTCCAGACTTCAGGCAGTCATTGCCTGCAAAGGATTCTCAACAAAATATTGAAAAGTAACATTTTACTTAGGGTTATGTTTATTTGTCCAATTACTTTTGAGCCCCTGAAATGAGGAGCGTTTGTATAAAAATAGCTACAATTCCTACATGTTTAATCATATATTTTTGTTCAACCCCTTGAATTAAACCTTAAAGTCTGCACTTCAATTCCGTTGTAGTTGTTTCATTTCAAATCCAATGTGGTGGCATGCAGAGCCCAAATCATGACGATTGTGTCACTGTCCAAATATTTCTGGGCCTAACTGTAGATACTGAGGCTATTAACCAGTATGATAAAGAGTCCTGAACAACATTCAGTTTTACAGTTCCTCTTCTACTGACGGGCTTTTCAGTGAATCAGTCAGAGTGCATGAACCACCTAACAACAACTATAGTTGTGATGGTACCAGGCTTTCCTCAACTGAGTTTTCATGAAATTAGAGTTGTGATTTCATTAATGTTTTTCAGTTCTGGAGTGAATTAAGGTCTAAAACCAAATGTTACTCTTGTTTAAGATGAGAGATAACAGAAGTTAAGGCTTATTTTTTCACCACTGGTTAAGCCTGAGTCTGAAACGGGTATGGTATGGACCCAAATGCAGCACACAACTGGATATAGTTTGTAATGACCTTTATGAACCAGCAAGGATTTTTTCACACAGGTGGGTATTGGGGAAAAGGGGAATTGTCATAAGCAGGTAGGTGGGCAAACGGGAGAGAGTTCATAGGGATGATGGGCAGGGGAGAGCTTGAGGCAGGTGAGTATAACCGGTTCGTATCTTTGCCCAGCAGGTGAGTAATTCTTCTCAGTAGTAGTGCAGGTGAATAATGAATGCTGGTACTCACACACGACCCTTTGAGTAGGTAGGTGATGAAGTCAAGTGGGCGAGGACAGAGACACCCAAGGCTGGGAGTGGGGAGCCTAGAAGCCCGCGTGTTCGACAGGGGAATCAAGTTGATGATTCAGAGAGTCGGAGCAGAGCAGGAGCCTCAGGCGGCAACAGGAATGTGCCTAAACCAATACTGCCCATGATGGGCTCACACTGGATCAGCAGGTGCCGAAGAAGAGGCACAGATGATGGGGAATGGAGAGCCAGGAGCTCCGTGTGGAGAGCTGGAGAGTGGAGCTGAGTCGTGGAGCCGATGAGCCAAAGAGTCAATGTGTGGACCTCAGACACCAACAGGTATGTGACAGATCTCTTTCCACAGCGGAACCACACAGGATAGGTAAGTAAAGAGGATATTGTTTACCTGTTGAAGGAGTGATGGTGGATAATATGCTATGTGGTCTTTACAGTTTGACACCAGGCAGCAGGAGAGGCGAGCGGGCCAAACCAGGAAGTAGTGAGTTGAATCGTTTTTTAGGAGCAGAGTCTTTGAGCAGGAAACCAACAGCTACTTGAAGCCAGAGACAAAACGTCAGAGCATTTACCAGAGCTGAAGCTGGGTCAGAGAAAAAGGATCAAACAGAGACCAAACTAGGAAGCCAGTCTGCAGGTAGACGCTGGTGTATCAGGCATAGAAGCGTGAACAATCTGGCAACAAGTGGATCAACTGGAGAAGCTTAAGTATGAGCTTGATTGGAGAGCAGCAGCAGCTGCGCGGCCAGGTGAGTTGGATGAGGACTGATGAGGGGGCGTGTCGGGAGAGTAAATGAGGAGGAATGGAAAAACCCCAGAGAGAGCAGGTAAGAGCAGAGGCGGATTGTGACAGTGTCTGGATCTGGTACATCTGCAGTTTATTTCCTACGGCCACATAAAAAGAGTTCAAACTTTATGACAGAGGAGACCACATCACAGACCCTGACACATGGACAAGATTTTTACAGGAGGAAAAGACACCTCTCTGCTCAATAGCTCCTCCTATCCTTTGTGGTCTCTCTGTCTGTTTTTGTATTTTCTGAATGTAACTAAATAAACATCACAGTCACAGTCTGCTCACAGCTGCAACCACAGTTATTTAAGACATCTAAAGCTACAGACACAGCTGAACTTAGAACCACAACTAGAGCTGCAGAGATTTTATTCTTTTCTCTTATTTTCACATGAACTGAGTTGGCTCACAACAGGAGAAACTAAATCAAAGATGAAGATGATACACTGATGAGTGAACCTCCTGCCCCTCAAAGGCTTCTTCTGCCTCTGAGGTGGTGATGAGCTTACACACTTGTCAGCTGTAACTGTTGTAAATCAGATGTTAGTCTGACCCCATGAGTAGTTTCATTATGTTGAGAATATGATGCCTCAAACAAACATCAGTACGATCAGACTATACCATGGAAGTAGTAGGTTGTAATTAGTGTAGTGTTGAGCAGCAGGTGAATGAACAGAGGTAGTTTGTGTTTTAAATTATTTCATTGACTTGTGTATCACCTGGTACCTGGTCAGAAAGTGTGCATTACATATCAGAAGCATATACTCATATATATCAGTCAACAAGCGACTCTGCTCCACTGCTCTTTCTTAATCACACATAGAGCTTTACATTAACTTCATGAGTTAATAATGTAGAGCTTCTTAGCGGGATGAGGTTTCTCTTCAACAATGAAGTTAAAAGGACCATTGCTTTGTGAGGAGGGGTGTCTGTCCTGCATCTGTCTGTGTGTGTCTGCTCCTCTGTCTCTCTGTTTAGACACTCATTTGTTTACATATTAATAAAAGTTCTGTTTTCTCTGTCTCCTTTTCCTAATGACACCATTATGTTATCATTTTGTCACAAACCGGGCCACACAGCCATGACAAAAGAGGGAGATGCACACAGACAAGCCAATTAACAAATCTTTTATTTAAAAAAAACACAATAAATCTAGGAGGAGAACTTAAACTAACAATGGCATGTGTAATATGTAAGATCAACAGTGTGAGTGAGACCATGAGTGAAGAAGTGTATGTGAATGCAGTGTTGTATGGTGCAGTAACAGAAACAACACCAAACCAAATGCCAACCAAGCCAAACGGATGCCTCAGGGAGGAGAGAGAACCAGAACTGAGCTCCAACTTGATTGTAAAAGCACTAGCACACAGGGCCCAGGTGTGCCAGGTCTACTGATGAACCCAGGTACTGACAATCCTTTGCCACACCCACCTCTAGTACCAAGTCTCTAGTCTGCAAAGGAAGCAGCCACACACAGGAAGCAACAGGTACACAAGTGGAGAGGGTTGTGACAATTTCCATAAGCACAATGCCTTGACATGACTGGGGTTTACTTTGTGCCTAGCTGCACTGAAAAAATAGTGTATATCTGTTTTCCTTTTCTTTGAGCCACAACCACTGTGCCAGGTTATTGTGTGTCAGATCGTAGCAGGCAGTAGATTTAGGTTACAGTAATATATTTGGGGAGACAACCCTCAGGAAGGGGTGGACATGTCCCCCGTCCCCCCGGGATTTCCGCCTATGCATGACAGGTTTCTCTTGATTGGAAATAGTTTGTACTTAACTTTCCTTACTCAGGACTTTCTGGAGCTTCCAATCATATCACACTGTCATCACATTGGAATTAGTTTTATAAATTAATCTTTTGGGATTCATTTTGTGAGACTGTCATCAGTACAAAAATGATGCAGTTGTTTCAACATCTTAAATCAACCTCCAATGTATTTACATCCAGTGAGAGAGCAGAGTGAAGTTTCATTGTTGCTATGTTTTCATATGAAGTCTGTGCTGAAATATATTTTCAATATAAAACCCCAGTGATAATAACATGTTTCTATAGTCACAGTGGAGACTCATCATTGAATATAACGACATACACAGAGGAATGTCCATACCACAGGAGTCAAGCGTCAGAGAAACATCTGTCGCAGATATTTAACATTCTCTTCACCAGCTGAGTTCCGTTCAACTCGCAACCAGCCGAACTCTTTTCTGCATGTCAGTCCCCTTTTCTCTGTCCCTAAATTTCCTGTTTCTCTACATTGTCAAGTCAAATAAAGGCATTAAATGTCCAAAATAATAACCAATAATAATAATAAACTTTGAAACTCTTTTCTGCATGTCAGTCCCCTTTTCTCTGTCCCTAAATTTCCTGTTTCTCTACATTGTCAAGTCAAATAAAGGCATTAAATGTCCAAAATAATAACCAATAATAATAATAAACTTTGAAATTTTGAATGTGCCTACTGCTTGGTGGGTTTACTTCACTCCTCATGTTTCAATCTGTACAAAGGACGTCACTCTCCGTTTTATTTATGTCATAGAGACTGCAGGTATCCCTCACACTGATTGTTTCAAACCCAAATTTGTCCCAACAACCATAGCAAGACATGCATATGCACATGTACATGCCTTAACAGAAGTTGATTTGCAATAAAGCTATAACACTATATCCCCATATAGACGATAGCTTCTAAGATCAGACTTTTATTACCTACCATACCTCTTACCTTTTTGAGACTCTTATTTTGAAAGTGTCTGTACTTCTGTGTTTGGCAGTATAAATTGCATAAGGTTGTGTACAACAGAGCCAATAATTTCCTCTTACCATGTTGAGATTTTTATTTTAAAGGTTAACTGAAATCGTGGAGATGGTGTTTGTGTGTTTCTGTCAATATATATATATATGTGTGTGTGTGTGTGTGTGTGAGAGTAAGTGTGTGTCTGTGTTTTTGTGTGTAGCAGTAGAGCTGCCAAACAGAACCTCCAGTAAGTTCTTTTTACAGAGACTCTTATTTTGAAGGTGAATATCAAAAAAGTAAGATGGTGTTTGTGTGTGTCTGTCAATGTGCGTGTGTGTATTGTTGTGTGTGGCAGTAGAGCTGTCTACCATATAGCCTCCAAAAAGCTTGTGTTACCAGGTTGAAACACTTATACAGTTGATATTCATATGGTGGTAATAGAGTTTGTGTCTTTCAATGTATGTGTGTGTGTGTGTGTGGTGTTGGGAACTGTGTAAGCTTAACCTTCAAACAGTCCTTTGTTTGGCTAATTAGACTGATTAACTCTTAGCCTTTAAACTCAGGTGTGAGAGCAACTCTAAGGTAAATCAACACAGTGTATTTGCGTGTACTTGTGTGGGTGTGTGTGTTGATGTGTGGTTCTTTGCATGTGTGTACATGTATTTTTATAATTGTGAGGACAATTTTGTTTAAAAACCATTATTGTGAGGTCATTTTGGCCGGTCCTGACATCTTCAGAGTCAGCTTTGCCCATTTCTGCCTAGTAACTGTCAGTAGCACCTGCTGAGACACTGGTTGCTATAGCGACTGTGGCCACCAGGGGGGAACACACAATCCCCTCTGTCTCCATAGGCAGACAAAAGCTTTTAAGATGAAACTTGTGTTGGAAAACTAAAAGTCCTATTGAAAAGATCACCTCACCACAGCTGTCCAAAGGCTTCATTTAAGAGACTGATATCTTATAAACTCCCCTTAACTCTGTTGAGAGCAAGACACTTCCACTCACATACACTCACACAAACTACAGCAGCTGATTTAACAAACACACACAAGCGTTCACTCTGTGATCATTAATTGATTTATACGTATCATTTATTGTATGTATCTTTGCTGCAGTCTCATACCAACATCTAATCTAAGACATGTACTGTGGATTCTTCTGCGTCATTTGCAGTCTCCCTCTCCTCTCTCTCTCTGTGTCTGTGAGTGGAGACGAGTGTTGGAGTTAGACCAAAGCTCCACCAGCTACTCAACTAACACAGGCATCCAGCACTGTTCCTGCCTCCCACTTACGTTCCATTGATGACTCCATCTGGGTTAAGCATGGGGATGATCTTGAAGACAAAGGATTCCCTCAGACTCTGGGCCACCGGCTCAGTGCTGCACAGAAATTCCAGGGTTCCCTTCATCACCCAGCTGGCGTTTGATTCACCAGGGTGGACACGTCCTGTCAGCATGATACAGGGACGGTTACCTGCAGGGAGACAGACATAGATCTGTCATGTTTCTGTATGGTAGGATGCACAGTGTGTGGCGAATTAGTCCAGAAACATTACTGAGTGTTTTTAGGATCCTACCTTCTAAACTGAGTGGTACCTTGTCAATCAGCACTCAGCTGCCTCCGTATTGTAATCTGGTAGTTGACATGACCTGAGCTCTCTGAGAACCCAAAACCAATCCTGCCCCTACACCCTTCCCCTACCCACTCTCACTCAAACCGCCACATTGTGTATCCTGTGTACCATCACAACAACCTGCTTAGCTCTGTGACAGTGACAGCTGGCCTCAGTTATGGGTGAAAATGAGTTATCACTTTAATGTTGTGCAGGGGTCATAATTACTGTCAGTGATTACAGTGTGAATGTTGAACAGACAGCATGTGTGTGTGATCAGTTGTTTGAGTTTAGAACCGCCTGTCCAGGTTAATCCATCATTACAACATGCTAGCCAGCTATTTTATAAAGCTACGTTTCCATCTACCAGATATCTGCAGTGTCTGACGAAATATACGTCTGAATCAGCTGATTGTATTAATCACTGGGGTCTGAGCAACAGAAGTAGCACAATGATCAGACAGAATATATACACGTCTCAAGGTCATTTAAAGACAGAAATACTTGCTTCACCTTTGACCTGCTGTACTTACTGCCATTGTGTCCCCATAGTTTTAACAAATGAAGTGGTTTTACATGATCTGGACAAAAAGTTTGTCTCTAACCTGTCTGATCATCTGATGTGTATTCTATGACATTTCATCTTCATCCTCAGTTCGCAGCACTGAAGTTCACTGAATATAACTGACAGAAAGATAGACAGAGCTATAAAACCACAATCTATGTTCTAATAACCTCAAGAGAACACGCCAACATTTTCAGACACTCAAGTGTCAAAGATGGAGCATTTAAACACATTGTTGGAAGGTGTGATGCTTTCCAGTCCAGTCCTGATCTCCATCTTTTCACATGACTGTAAATAAGATACCAACAACTAAATTTCCCACAATGACCCAGAATGTTTAAAGGCCAACACATGTGTTATGTGTACTCTATGCAAATCATGACCATGAGCATTTTGTTGAACATTTTAACAATATTTTTGAAGCATTACTTGCAGGCTGCCATTGTTTTCCATTCATCTTAGGAAAATCAATACGCAGACTCTATAATGTGCTTGTGTTTTGTTATCACAGTGAACATCCAGTGTGAATGAATAATGCAACATCGCTGTTTCATAGTGATGCAGTTTAAGAGCAAAGTGATGTTCCAGGTCTGTTGGTATTCTCTCATAAGGGCATGTGTCCATGTATGTTTTTTTTCTGGCAGAAAACTCCACACACTACAGGCTAGATTTCCTTAAAGGCTTGTTCCAGACAGATAGACATATTAAATCTACACTACTATGTTTTCGTTTACGATCTCTGTCCAGTGACCTTTTTAGCTCCTTATCACAAACGATCTCTGTGCAGACTATGACACCTGAAAACACATACATACCTGAGTAATCATGTACAATGGGCATGTGTGAGCTGGTGTAAACATGAAGCAGATTGTCGACTCTGCAGTTGGTTAGTTGCAAAAAATACTATGAACGAGGAAGAGCAAAGACAGCTGCACTGTTAAATGCAGAATTTAACTGCACAACAGCTGCTAGCAAAAACAACAAGGTCAGTCATGCTTGTAATTTGTTATCTGTGATGTATTCACCACTGGTAGTCGAGGCTGATCAGTCAGAGAGCGACCATGGGTGTCTACATTATCGTTTCCAAAGGTCTCCATTTTTGCCTGTCCAGACTACAACACAACCCCCGGAATTTTCAAACTAAAACTGGGTCAGCAGTGTTTCAAAAGTTCACGTTTTCTGTGCTCAAAAAATCCGGAGTTGGTTCGGATGGGAGGCGAAAACATAGCAAAGGAAATGAATTTTAAAACGTAAACATAGTAGTGTGGACATAGCAACAGACAGATAGGTAGGAAGGGGGGAGGGGTTTATCTCCCACCTGAGACTATACTTTCTGCTATGAACCAACGCATGTAGTGTGTCCTGGTGCCTGATGGGGACCTCTACCTGAGGTCTGGATTCCTGGATTATAATTACCTGGATGTTGGTGCAGTAGGGAAGACATAACACACTTAAAGCCCCTCTATCAGGTAATTAGTGTGTTACAGACTGAACATCATTGGGCTCATCTGGTACATAATGTAAACACGTACTCTCACTCAGTGAGTGTTAAAGCACATAGTAGTGCTTAGTACTGTCACTGTTTTCTGTCTGATTATTAATCTGTGATTTCATATTCACTGGGTATAAACAATAGATTACATTACATTACTTGAACACTATCTAAACCAGCAGCTTTTATTCTGAAGGGCAGGGTCCATCTCAGCAGTTGAATTGTTCCCAGTGTGACTGACAGTTTATGACACATAAAGCTAAAATAGATTATAGATTTGTATTGCAATGGGTCATGGATCGGACATAACATTATCATTATCCTTGGAATGAAAAGTCTGAATCTTGAAAATAGATATTTTGTCCAGAGATAAAGTTGAGAATGGGTATAGGGAAGTGTTGGGACTTATCATTCAAGAGACCAGATGTTTCTTTGCTCCACTGGACAAAGGAACTCACACTCCACAGTTCCTCACTGTTCACACCTGGGGACAACCCTTCCCCCCACGGACCTTACTGGCCAGCTAGTGTGGGTCAGCGTGTGACATGTGACCCCCAAGGGTGTCACCAAACAAAACCAGATCTCCTTCTTCTCTTCTCTCTCTTCTCGGCTTGCTCTGGAGAGCAGCTCCTGCTCTCTCCTCTCGGCTCCTCAAAGGGCAACAAGACCCCAGCCCAGGTCAGCCTTGCTACCTGAGAAACCAGCTCTCTCGCTGGCCTGCTCACAGCAGCCTGCAAACGCTCTTCTCCTCAACAGCAGCGACCTGCCTCGGATTAACTCAGAGTGAACCAAGTTCTCTTCAGAATCAGCAGCTACGACACAAGGCCAGCTGATTTTCCAAGCATCAGGAGTCATAGCAGAGTTAGCGTGGAACAGCTAACTCTGTGAGGAGAACAAAGGAGATAACAGCAAAGCAACACAGCCAGACAGGACTTTACTCCACCAGGAAGCCTCCCAACTCACTGGACTTTACAACAACACTGGAAAGGACCTCTTTGTTTGTTCCAAGGACTGGGTAAAGTTAACTGACTGGGCCTAAACTCTCCCAGCACAGCATAGCACAGCACAGCATAGCTAAGCAGCAGAAGTCTTAACTTTGTTAATGTACTTGTTGATTGAATTGATGTCTTGATGTTGTAATGTTTGCTTAGGTTGTGGTCAGTCGTACAGTTAATCGGGTACTCGTATGTTCACACACATAGTAGTACGTCTCAGTTCTAGAACCTGCATGAAGCTAACCTCCTCCCTCTAACCTAGTACCTTTAGATTACATGAGCTAGGCCAGTGGTTCTCAAACTTTTTCTGTCATTCCCCCCTTTGGAGGAAGAAAAATTTTCATCATTGTTACAAAATAGGCCATGTTTAACTTTATTGACTTATCAAAATAATGAACATGAACATTCATGTTCACAGATGCAGCTTTTACAAACCGATGTTCCTGCTGACGATATTCACTGAGTTTTCTCTTAAAGAAGTCGAGTGGTTTATTGACATTACTGGGGTGTAATGTCTCAAAGGGTCTTTTTAATTTGTTGGGTCTCATACTGTCAGCTGCCAGAGTTTTCAGACAAAAAAGACACACGGGTCTCTCTTCATCTCCGACCACATTCACTGTGAACCCAAGAGCAAGATAGGCTTCGTCATATTTTCTTGACTTGGCTTTTTGTCGATTACCGTCATCTGAGCACATTGTATTGCTGGTCTCAGAAGCATCGCTTGTTTTCGTCCGTCAAATATCTCTCCATTCTGAAAACCAACAGACCTGAATGCAGTTGCTATGAAAGGCAGGTGAAAGTGCGTTTTTTATGGTTCCACCGTGAAAAACATTCTGACGTCGAAACATTAGTTCCCCCCCTTTTCCCCCTGGGTGACTCGCGCCCTTATGCCTCCGCGCCCTCCCACACACACCAGGTGGTGTCAGCGGCCATTTTGAATAGTTTTTCTTTGTTTACTGCCATCTTATATAGTCTTCTTTGTTCAGGTCATGTGGTCACAGTGACCACTTTGAATCGGCCATCTTGCCTTTGTTTGTGTCCCCACAGACACACAGACATACCCCTACACACACATACACACACCTGTATATAATAGATTAGACATTGTGTTTTACTCTGCTCTATTGTAAATAAATGCCTTTAAGTATAACTACTGGTGTGTTTAATGTTGCACAAGCATGAATATTGCCAACCTCTACTTTGTAGAATTCCAATCCTTCAACTTTAACTTACTGTTGATATAGTAATTTGGTTATAGTTAGTAAACTCTAATTGTTAATCAGAGTTCCAGATTAATGGTAATAAATTGAGACTGAAACCATATTGGCTATTTTGCCTATTAGTTTAGGCTGGTGCCCCAAGGACTAATTTTATAGTTATTATTTAATATTAATATTTTTAATATTAATATTTTCTTAATTTATGATAGCCAATAAATTGATAGACAACCGAAATCCAACATATTTGGTGTCCAGCTCATGAGGTAGAGCTCAGACCCAACAGGAAGGAATGTGTGTTAGCATGCACACCTTACGTGGAAGACCATCACAGTCGAGGTTCAGACACCTGGAGGCCAAGCCTGACCTTAAGGACCATCGCAGTGGAGTCACATGAGCGTCGTGGGGGATGTAGGACACTTCCTTTGCAGCTCTGCAGCGCCCCCCCAAATTTTCACTTTATTTGCATACCTTAAGCTGTTCTTTTTTTGTTTTTTGGTTTCGCTGTGTTTATTTCACTTTTTACACAACGAAATGGCGATGAGTTCAAGAAAGGCAGCTGGCAAACAGCTGGTTACAGCCCCATCATCCG